CATCCCTCTGGATTCTTGTGGCCCTGGGGCTGCTGTTTCCCTCTTTTCCATGAGGAAAGTGTTTTTAACTGTTAAATGCAGCCAAGGTGCTTTTAGCTATATGGAATGGATTGAGAAAGGGGTCCAGGAATTTCTCAAAGGTAATACAAGAAAAGAAAATATGAATTAAAAATTAACTGTTGCCCTCAAGCTGAGTTTTGTGTCTGAGACTGCATGTTTCTTGAATGCTTTGAGAGCGTAAGTTAGCTTGGATACTGGGACCTGAGCTGAAAAAAAAATGATGTTTATTTTTTCTGTGCTTTGGTGGCTTTCGGACAGAAATCCCATTGCTGCTCTTAAGGGCAGAAAGGAGTGACTGGGGCCCTGCTGTGCTGTTGGCCTGCAGAGCAGAAGCTCTGTGGTGCTGCTGTTTACTAACTAGTGCCTTGCACCACCCGGCAGCTTCCATCTCCAGAGCCGCTTGCTGCTCTGGGCTCTTCTGCAGCACCTTTCCCTCTCTCTGAACTGCGACCATGAGGCTGCAGCACAAGGCATGGCCTGGCGGAGCACCGAAGGTCTCCCCATCCTTGGCGGAGCGGATCCCTGCACCAGGCTCTTGCAAACTGTGTCCCTCGTAAACACAGCTGGGCAAGGAGAAAAGGAAACCTCCTTTTCCAACCATTTGTGGTAGCGCTCCTGCCTCCAGGCTGGACTGCTTGCTTTGCTTACATACCAGCAGGAGCAATAATAATGTTTTACATTGATACGGTGGCTTTCATCTCCAGGGCTCTCTGCAGGCTGGAGCCTGGGTTAGGGCTGGCCTCATGTGAGCAGGTGAATTTGAGCCTTGCAGAATGGGTTGATGGGCCCTGCAGCTGCTTCAGAAATGCTGTTGTCACATCAGTGCCCTCCAGGTGCTTTGGGTCTTATCTCTTGCTTGTTCTGCCTTATGGTTCTGTCTTATGGTTCATGGCACAGATCTGCTATCAGTTGTTTGTGGGGCTAAAGGAGCATTTTGTGCCTCAAAGATGCAGGTTGCCCTGAGCACACCTGAGCATCTGCCTGTTGTAGGGCACCCCTTGCTCACACAGTACCCTGGGGGCTTCATGTTTTGTAAGAACAGCTTGGGCTAAGCTGGGGCTGTCCCCTCTGCCCCCAAGGATGAAGGAATAAAATTCAGGAGAGTCTTGGTGGTCCTGCCCATCATGTGGTGGGAGTGGTTCCCTGCTACATGTGAAATCGTGGGACCTGGTACTTTGAGGGGGGATTGGGAGGGAAGGGAGTGCAGCAGCAGGACAGAAGATGGCTGGGTCTGGGAAGGAACAAACCAAACTCTGTCTGAGATAGCAGGGGCTAAAGCCAGGTGTGTGAGGGACTAAGCAAGGCCCAAAGCCATGTGTGAAACAGGGCCTGGAGCAGCAACCCTGCAAGCAGGGAAAGGGGTGAGGAATGATTGCTCCTCAACCTAAACAACTAAATCCATTTTAGATTACAGAAATACTGTTGTGTGCGGCACTGCAGGGGAACCCTGTGAGCGTGTGCCGGTCCTGCGAGCTGAGCTATTATTTTATCGTGTTCATATTGTCCTTCGATGTTATCTGTGGAGGAGCGATTCTGCGGGCAACTCCTGCGAGAGCTGCGGGCTCCTGGAGCTCCGGGGCCGGGCTCGGGAGGCGGCGCGGGGCTGCGCGGGCCC